GAGCATGGCCACTCTTGCCCTCTGTTGGTCACTGTTTGCGGGATAGATTTTTCCATCCGTTCTCTTTCAACCTGTGAGCGTCCTCAGACCCAAAGGGAGTCCTTTGCGGACGGCCCGTGGAAACTTTCTCTTATCCGTTCTCCAGTCTGTGTCTTTCGATTGGTGAGTGTAACCCATTTACATCTTTATGCATTTTCTACCCAATAACATAGATTTATAATTATTCTTATGTATTTATCTCTTAAATCATGTAGGAAATAAAAAGTGGAGTTACAGACCAACAAGGCCATAGTGCTGGCTTCTGTATTTCCCCGCGCAGTCACCGCGAATTCACCAAAGATCTTCGTTTCTTCCTGTGGTCGCCTCCAGCGTCCCTCTCAACTCAAGGACTCCTCTAGCATTTCTCGTAGGACGGGTCCAACCGTAGGACGGGTCCAGCGGCAACAACCCCCCTGAGCTTTTGTTTATCTAGGGAATATCTTCATATTTCTCTTATTTCGAAGGGCAGTTTTTCCAGATACATCATAGAATTTTTGACTGGCAGAGGTTGTTTGTTTTGTTTTTTTCCTGCACCTTAAACGTATCACGCCGCCGCCTTGGGCCTCCGTGGTCTCTGATGAGAAATTGACATTGACACCACTGAGGATCCCTCGTAAGTGACAAGTCATTTCTTTCTTGCTGGTTTCAGAATTCTGTCTTTTGAGTTTGATTATGCCTCTCGTGGGTCTCTTTGAGTTTATGCCGCCTGAAGTTCATTGAGCTTCCTGCATTTATAGATTGATACCTTTCATCAAGTTATACGCCGTGACTGGGTGAGATTTACTCGAGGGATGCAAAGGGGGTCGATGTGAGACAGTCGTTGTGGCTGAGCACATTCACAGAACACGGCGTGGTCGGCCCCTCATCCCTGTGGGTTCCACGTCCGCGGATTCAGCCAGCCTTGGACTGAAAATGTAGCTGGGCCGCGATGGCTGCGTCTGTACTGAACACGTACAGGCTTCTTTTTCTTGTCGTTATTTCCTGAACGATACAGTGTAACAACCGTGTAGACAGCATCTGCATTGTTAGGTGTGATCAGTAACGTAGAGATGATTCAAGCACACAGGAGGATGTGTGGGCTCTATGCAAACACCGCACCACTTTGTGTCAGCCACCAGGCACCTGTGGGTTTCGGTGTCTGCGGAGGGTCCTGGAACCGTCCCCCGTGGATACCGAAGAACAACTGTGTACACACAGGTGTACGTGCTTGATGCTTACGCCAGTGCTCGTTGCCGCACTAGTCACAAAAGCCAAAAGGTACAAAGACCCTGCGTGCCCATCCCCAGATGAACAGATCGACAAAATGTGGCACATACAAAAAATGGGCTATTGTTCAGCCACACCGAGGAGTGAAATCCTGACACAGGCTACAACATGGACGAACCTTGAAAGCATCGTGCTAAGTGAAATCAGCCAGATATCAAAGGGCAAATATTGTGTGATTCCACTTATATGAAATATCCAGAATGGGTAAATTCATACAGACAAAAACTAGATTCACAGTTACCAGTAGCTGTGGGGAGTTAGTGCTTCACGGTTACAGGGTTTTTTTCTTTGTTTTTTTTTTGTTTTTTTTTTGAGACAGAGTCTCGCTCTGTTTCCTGGGCTAGCGTGCCATGGCGTCAGCCTAGCTCACAGCAACCTCAAACTCCTGGGCTCAAGTGATCCTCCTGCCTCAGCCTCCCCAGTAGCTGGGACTACAGGCATGCGCCACCATGCCCGGTTACTTTTTTCTATTTTTAGTAGAGATGGGGTCTCGCTCTTGCTCAGGCTGGTCTCGAACTCCTGACCTCAAGTGATCCTCCTACCTGTGCCTCCCAGAGTGCTGGGATTACAGGCGTGAGCCGCTGTGCCTGGTCGATTATGGGGTTTCTGTCTGGGGTGTTAAAAAGGTTTTGGACAGAGTTCGAGGTAATGGTTGCATGACACTGTGAATGTAATTAATATCACTGAATTCTACACTTAAAGTGGTTAAAATGGAAATTTTAATTTTATATGTGTATGTTATAGTTTTTAAAAACTAATAATATACCGAAACCACTGTGTGCTTTAAATGAGCAAATAGTATGCGAATTATATCTAAATAAAACTACTTTTTAAAAGGCATAAAGGACATTTTAGGACAACAGGGAAAGAGCTTACATGATCCAGTATCAGGTAAGAGAAGAAACTGTGATTTTGCTGAGTGACGACAGCCTTGTGCCGGTGTGGGAGACTATTCCTATTCTCAGAAGAGGCACGGTGATGAGCTCAGGTACTAAGTGTCGCAATATTGAAATTTTACTTTCGAATGATTAAGAGAAAAAATGTGTGTTATCGTGTGTATACTTTCAGATGGGAAAGGGAGAGAGAGAATAAAGTTGGCACAATGATAAAAAAAACCACTTATATACGGTTGTATATCTATTTGTTTAATCCCGCTGTGTTTTGAAATTTGCAAAATAATTGGGAGAGAACCTCATTTCTTTCTATTCAACGTGAATCAGAACATCCTAACCAGGGCTGGGCGCGGGCGCGGGTGCCCAGGACGGGGGTGGGGTGGGGCGGGGGCGGGGCCAGGGTGCTGGGAATGAGCCACGCGGAATAAATTACGCAGAGACCAAGCAGCTCTCAAAGTCTTTTAACCATTTCCAGAGTCACCATGACACCCCACGCCATTAATAAAAATATTGTAAGTTTTCATTCAGTTATTCAAAATGCACATATTAACTGCATATTATGTGCCAGTGTTAGGATTTTTTTTCATATATGTTGGAAATACTTTTCCCAGTTTTAAATTTGGCTTTCAAATCGGTTGATGACGTTTAGTGACGTGCTAAAACTTTACATTTTCACGGCGTAACATCCTGATCTTTTCCAAGTATTATGATTTCTTCCATTGCTCATTTTCCCAAGAATTTTAAGTACCCTGATTCAAAATACTCACCTGACTCACGTTTTAAGTTCTACTCTCCGGTCCTGCCGTGTGGACGCCTGGACCCCCGGCACCTCCACGTCCCGTCCCGCGTGTGGACACAGGAGCGTCCGAGGCTCCCACTTTCCCAGACCCAGCCGTGCGCAGGGCTTGTGGAAAGGACAGGAGCAGAAACACGAAAATAAAAAATGAAACCGCTCCGCGGGCACAGAGAACGGGCGATCGAGGGGGCTGTTTTAGGTTAGAAAATTAACAAAACCCCCGAGGGCAGGGAGCGGGGAGGCTGTGGGAGCTCTGCCGGGCCGTAGACCTGCACCGGGGACACCGGGGACACCGGCACGCCGGCCCCAGCAGTGCGGTCTCAGCGCAGACCTCGCAGGGACTGACTCTAACCAGACGCAGATTTCAAAATTTAGAGATGAAAATGTCACCAGCTGGTGGCCTCCACAGACGTCTACACCAAGACCGTCCCCACCCGGTGACTCCCGCCTACTCTCTGGGGACACCTGATGTGCTCTGAGCTCAGGACACGGAGGCCGGCAGGGCGGGCAGAGGGGCGGCCAGGAGAGGCCTGCGCCCCGAAGTCTGGGTGGCAAGGCGCCGGGTCGTGCGGTCAGGAGAGACTGGGGCAAGTCTGCAGATGAGGACGCCGGCAGGGGCTCGCGGAGCCAAGTCTCTTGATTGATCTCTCATCTCAAGAGCGATACTAATGCACGTTCTGGGGGACCCCGAGGTCACCCTCGCCAAACAGCTTCCATTCAGTTCAACAGAACTGAAAGCTCCTGGTGGTCACAGGCGCTGGAGAAGCAATAGGAAAGCCGCTGTCCCCAGCCCCACTGTGTCCTGAACGCCTGGGCGGGGACAGGCAGGTCCCGGGGCAAAGGGCACGAGCACGGCCGAGGAACGCCGGCGTCGGGTAGGCGGGCGGTGCCCAGGCCTCGCCCGCTCGCGCCAGCTACGCTGAACCCACCGACACGGCGGCGAGGAAAGCGGTGCCGGGCGGTCCGGTACCGTTTAGAAATGAATAAGCCCAGGGCTGCTTTCTGAAAACAAGCACGTTTCTATCATTTCTCCGTTCATCTGCTTCAAACTAGACACAACTTACTTCCAAGTGTTAATTTATGTTAATGCAGCCCTCAATTTGTACGTGCGACACATAATTACACCTGGCATTTCTGTCCCTCTATCTCAAGTATTTTGGTCAAATTATTAGGCTCTTAAAACCTGTATTTATAGAAAAACTGGTTTAAAGTACCTGCTATGTTGTACACAATAAAAAAGCTCAATTTATCTGTCAATTAAAGAAATGAGTGCCACTGAAAACATAACAACGTACCTGCTACGGCTTGAGCGTTTTTGTCTCCCGGGCGCGCGTCAGAACTTACTCCCCAGAGCAGGTGTCAGGGGTGAGGCGGCCTCGCGCACGGCTTGCGAGAGGGGCCGCTCTCCCGCCCCCGCCCGTGAAGACCCGCGTGCCTGCCCTCCGACGACGCGGCGCTCCAGGCGCCCTCTTAGAGGCAGAGAGACCAGGCCCTAACCTGCCGGCGCCGTGGGCGTGGACCTGCATCCTCCAGAGCTGTGAGAGACAAATGCTGGTTCTTTATGAATTACCCCGTTTCCAGTATTCTGTCCAGCAGCACAGAAGGGACTAAGGCAATGCCCCTCTGAGAAATCCTCTTACGTTCAGATCTGCATCTGTGTGGTTTTCTAAAATGGGGCACATAATACCCAAAATATACTTTTTAAACGCCGAAAGTTAGAACTTAAGCTTTTCAAACAGTACTGTATTAATTTGGCCTCTTAGAGACTCGTATGGTGATATAGCAATCATCTGAATAAAAAAATTGGCTGAGGTTTTATGCAAAGATTAACTCAACACAAAACTTAATAAAACAGATCTTCAATAAATTTCAATTAATTATACTGTGATCGATGATTTTTATCAGAGAATGCATACTCTTGTGATTCAAAACCAAATATTTTAAGAGTGATTATACCTTACAGAAATTGACAGGAAAGTATTTTATTTAAAATAGTCAAAATAAAAGGCAAATAAGCATCTATATTTGTCTCACTTTAGAAAACATAGGCTTTAAGATCAAAAGTAACCTTCCAAACTCAATGCCAGAATTAAAATTTCATTTCACATCAATGTTTAATAACAAATATTTGACCAACGGATTATAATTCTAAAGCTGTACAATAAATTAAAAAAGCTTTCTAATTTTTCTTCTTTACCAAAAAAATCATGAACTCATGAATTAACAATAGAAAGTTAATAATAATTTCAGAAAGAAAAGGCACGTCCAGGCAAAACATTCAAGGCGACTGTGAAACGCAGTGTTACAGTTCTGCTGCGAATGGTGAACTGACTACAAATAAATTACTCTGAAAAATTCTACAACATGACAGCAATATCCTGAAAAGCCAGGAAAACACCACGTCTTTGCTCTTGTTCTTCTGTTCCGAGGAAGAGGCCCGAGGACGCCCAGCTGGAAGTGCTCACTGCCCCACCCAGGGCCCTGCCCGGGGTCCGCGGCCGTCTCCTGCGTCACAGACTCGGCCGTCTCTCTGGTCTCGGCACACACCTCGTGGTCGCAGCTCTCCACAGCACCGGGGCGAGGAGGAGGCTGAGCGTGGTCACACTCAGTATGAGGAGGTACACCTGCAACGGGGCAGCACGGTCACACGCAGCGTCAGCAGGGGGCCGGCGGGTGCAAGGCTGGGCGCGGGCACTCACCTCCCGAGAGATGATGCCGGCCCTGCGCGCGCGGCTCCCCAGCACGAAGGAAAACTCGCTGACCTGGGCGAGCCCCGCGGACACGATCCACTTGATGCAGCGGCTGCTCTGCGGCAGGATGAGGGTCAGGACCAGCGCTGCCAAAACAAACTGCGAGAGCGGTTACCGCGTCATCGCTGAAGGCACAAGCCCAGACATAACTAAGATGCACAAACAGCAAACCTAGACAAAACACCAAGATGCCACGATAGTTCTTGAGTAGCCCACAGAGTAAGCAAACACACACACGGGCACTTCAAATGCCAGAAGGCTCCAGACAGTGCGAAATATCTTAAATAAATCCACACAGAAAGCGGCAGAATCAGGATTTTGCTTCACTAGCAGAAAACAAGCCTTTATCCCAAACTAAACTAACAGTATTAAATATTAGATATTACGTAGCATCCAAGATGGAAATTTAAAAAAATAAGCTCCTATAGAGACGCACGTCTCCGGGGTAAGCAGCCCAGAGCTGGTGGGGCACCCCGACAATCGCCAGAGATTCTGGCTCCTTAAAATGGAGCTATTCTAAGTCAAATTTTGCAATCCAGAAAGCCAGGTGGCGACCGAACAGGTCATCACACCTCACACGTTAACACGACAACTCGATCCTCTGGTCACCGAGAAGAGACAAAGGGAAAGCACCCACGCAAGTTTCAGGCCTTTACAACGGACGCTGGCGTCCGCCACAGAGGAGGGGTCTGGCGCAAGGGTCACCGTTACAACCCAAGGACCTATCTTGAGGATCTAGAAAGGAGTTTCTCCCGTCCCAACTTTTGGGAATTCCCAGTTTTCAGCATCCACAATTCGGAGGCAATGGACCACACTGACACACCATCCCCCAGAGCCTGCCCCAAACCTGCCTCCTCACTGCGGTCGAGCCGCGCGCAAGAGCCTCCCCCAAGATGTGGGCAGGAAGCGGCTGGAAGAAGCAGAGCCCCGTCAACGGGCCCCCCAGATGCAGAGCAGGGCTGGGCTCCCCACACGTGACGCGGTCACTGGCTGGAAATCAGGCCCCCAGGAAGGACGCTGTGCCGTGCGGCACGTGAGACCCAGCGGACCGTGGCTCTACCAGGCCCGAGTTACCTTCATGAGCACCACCGACAGCGTGAGGAACACCAACACCGTGAGCTCGTACACCACAAACGTGGGGAAAACGTGCAGCCCTGCAGGGAAACAGGCCAGACAAGTTACTCACGACCAGGGAACATGCTCCCACCAGTTCACAATCACCTCCCAAGTATACAGCTACAACCCAAGCGTGCATGAAACTTATTTCAACAAAAGAACTAAATGCGGCAATCCTAGCACTCTGGGAGGACTGCTGGAGCTCAGGAGTTTGAGACCAGCCCGAGCAACAGTGAGACCCCATCTCTACCAAAAATAGAAAAATTAGCCAGGCTTGGTGGTGCCTGCAGTCCCAGCTACTAGGGAGGCTGAGGCAGGAGGATCGCTTGAGCCCAGGAGTTTAGGCTGCAGAGAGCTATGATGACGCCACTGCACGTTACCTGGGGTGACAAAGCGAGACTCTGTCTCAAAAAAAAAGTCCTACATTCTTGTAAGTGCACTCGTCAAAGACCAGCAGACGCAGTGCACCCACGGGTCCTGGTGCGATCCCAGCTACCGCCCTCCAACAGGCTCGCTGCAGAGGGCGCAACAGGGTGCCTGGGAGGTGCTTGGCTGGTTGCCCTTCACGGGAGAGTTCAAGCCAAGGTGCAAACGAGCCCCGAGCCTGTCTGCACAGCCCACCAGCACCGGGGTGCCACGCTCAAGGACGCTTGTTGCCAACATCCCTTTTCCTTTTTTGTTTGGCTCACACGTTTGGAAGAACAACAGGAAACATTTTCCCTAAATATTTTTTCTCTCTGCTCTCGAGGCTCCTCCTGGGGCCTCACCCGCTCGCTCAGAAACCACACGTGGACACGTATGGCGGCCACTCAGGCCCTCTGTCCGCCCAGTGGCAGAACGTTGCCTCAAAAGAGCAAATCCAAGAATCGCTGGTGTTCACGGGGGAGCTGAGACCGAGTGAGCGGTGGAAGCTTATTCACGGAAGTGATGACAGAAAACTCTCCAACTTGAGAAAGACGTAAACATCCAGTACACAAAGGCCTGGGAACGCCGGATTCAAGCTAAGCGAGACACCCAGGGCATCTAATGTGCACACTCTCAAAGGTCCAGAACTCAGAGGGGTTCTAAAAGCAGCAGGAGAAGAGGCGGACGACATGGAAAGGAGCTCCGGTCCTCCTGGCAACACCTCTCGGCAGAAACACTCCGGCCAGGAGGGAGCGGGACATCGTCACGGCGCTCAGGGAAAAAGCCTGCCGTCCAAGGATGCTGCACCCACAGAATCATCCCTCAAACGTGAGGGAACGGAAAGTCTTTCCCAGACAGACAAAAGCTGAGAGAACTCGCCACCACCAGGCTTGTGCTATAAGTGCTAACGGGAGTTCTTCAGTCTCAAAGTAGAAAACGCTGATGTGCAAAAAGAAACCTCTCCAAGGTCTAAAACCCCCTATAAAATCACGTGGACACACGTCTGAAACACAATCCCCCTGTAACTCTGGACACAGACAACCAATAAAAAAAAAAAAAAAAATAGACGCAGCCACCTGTTAAGACACAAGTGATATAAAAACGTGAGTTGAGACAAGCAAGAGACACAATGTGGAGGGGATGGGCTTAAAGAACAGAATTTTTGTGGGGTTTTTGCTTTTGTTTATTTCTGTTCTTTTATTTGTGATCTAAAATAACCCATCATCTCTTTAAAATAACTTGTTTTATCTATACAATGTTTTTTGTAAGCAAAAACATGTTCGTGGAAACCACAGCGCAAAAACCCATAATAGATTCATTAAAAATAAAAAGCAACAAATTAAAACATACTACCTGAGAAAATCACTCAACCACAAAGGAAGAAAGGAAGAGAAGAGTCTCAAAGTAACCAGAAAAGAAGCAACAAAACGGCAGTAGTGAGTCCTTCGTTATCAATAGTAGCACAGTGTAAATGCGCTCGATTCTCCACGGAAAGACACAGAGTGGCTGACGGATGAAGAAACAAGACCGAGCTATACGCTGCCTTCAAGGAACCCACTTAACCTATAAAGGCTCGCGTAGACGGACAGTGAAGGGTGGAAGGTGGAAAGAGACATTCCTCACACGTGGAAACCGAAAAAGAGCAGGAGCAGCTATACTTAGCTAAGATACACTGTGTATCAAAGACCATAAAAATAGACACAGAAGGTCACTATGTAATGAGAAAGCGGTCAACTTAGCAAGAAGATACAACAATTATAAATGTCTACACACCCAACAGCACCCGAGTATCAAAAAGTAGAAAGACCCCAAATCGACACCCTAACCCGAAAAGCAAGAACCAACCAAAGCCAAAATCAGTGACACAGAAGGAAAGAAATAAAGATCAGAGCAGAAATAAAGGATATGGAAACTAAAAAAAATACAGAAGATCAAAGAAATGAAAAGATGGTTTTTTTTAAAAGATAAACAAAATTGGCAAACCTTTAGACAGACTCAGGAAAACAGAGAAAAACCAAGTAAATAAAATCAGAAATGAGAAAAGATAACAACTGAGACCTCAGAAACACAAAGCATCACAAGAAACCATTGTGAATGACTAAATGTCAACAAACTGGAAAACCGAGAATAAATTAATAAATTCCTGGACATAGGCCGGGCGCGGTGGCTCACGCCTGTAATCCTAGCTCTCTGGGAGGCCGAGGCGGGCGGATTGTTTGAGCTCAGGAATTCGAAACCAGCCTGAGCAAGAGTGAGATCCCGTCTCTACTAAAATTAGAAAGAAATTAATTGGACAACTAAAAATATATAGAAAAAATTAGCCGGGCATGGTGGCGCATGCCTGTAGTCTCAGCTACTCGGGAGGCTGAGGCAGGAGGATCGCTTGAGCCCAGGAGTTTGAGGTTGCTGTGAGCTAGGATGATGCCACGGCACTCTGGCCCAGGCAACACAATGAGACTCTGTCTCAAAAAAAAAAAAAAAAAAATTCCTGGACACATAAAACCTATCAGGATTAAACTATAAAGAAACAGAAAACCTCAACAAACCAATAACAAGTAACGAGATCAAAGCTGTAATAAAATGTCTCTAATTGAATAAAAAAGAAAAATAATTTTAAAATATAAAAGAAAAAGAAAATAGTTGTATACCAGGTACCAAGGGGGAAAAAAAAGAATAATAATTTTAAAATACAAAAAGTCTCCAATCAGAGAAAAGCTCAGGAACTGATGGATTCACTGCTGAATTCTACCGAGCACTCGAAGAGCTGGTAACAATTCTACTCAAACTCTTCAAAAAATTGAAGAGGGAACACTTCCAATTCATTCTACAAGGTAAGAATAACGCTGATCCCCAAACCAGATAAGGACACGATAAAAAAAGAAACCACAGGCCAACATCCCTGATGAACACAGATGCAAAAATCCTCAACCAAATACCAGCAAACTGAATTCAACAACACACTGAAAAGATCCTCCACCATGATCAAGTGGGCTTCATCCCAGCTTGCAAGGGTGGTTCAACACGTGCAAATCAATAAACACGATACTTCACATCCACAGAATCAAGGACAAAAAAACGTGATTATTTCAACAGATGTCAAAAAAGCATTTGTTAAAATTTAATAGCCCTTCATCATAAAAACCTCACCAAAATGGGTACAAAAGGAACATACCTCAAAATAATAAAGGCCACAGATGACAGACCCATGGCTAACATCACACTTAACACAGAAACATTGAAGGCCTTTCCTCTAAGGACTGGAACAAGACAGGGATGGCCACTTTCACCGATTTTATTCCACATAATACTAGAAGTCCTGGCCAGAGTAATTAGGCAAGAGAAAGAATAAATGGCATCCAAACTGGAAAGGAAAGAAGTCAAATTAGCCTTGTTCACAGACGACATGGTCTTACACCCAGAAAAACCTAAAGACTCCACCAAAAAAGTGTTAAACTGATACACAAATTCAGTAAAGTAGCAAGATACCAAATCAATATACAAAAATCAGTAGCACTTATATTTGCCAACAGCTAACAATCTGACAAAGAAATCGAGAAAGAAATCCCATTTACAATAGCTACAAAATATACAAAATACCAAGGAATCAATCTAACCGAAGAAGAGAAAGATCTATACAAAGAAAATCATAAAACTATGATGAAAGAAACAGAAAAGGATCCAAAAAGCCAGAAAGATATTCCATGCTTGTGGATTGGAAGACTATTGTTAAAATGGCAACACTGCCTAAAGCGATTTATAGATCCAATGCAATCCCTATCCAAATACCAATGACATTCTTCACAGACATAGAAAAAAAAAAAATCCTAAAACCTGTATAGAACCACAAAAGACCCAGAATAGACAAAGCCATCCTGAGCAAAGAGAACAAAGCTGGAGGCACCACAACACCTGACTTGAAAATGCACTGCACAGCTATAGTAACCAAAACAGCACGGTACTGGCGTAAAAACAGACACGCAGACCAATGTAACCTCACAGAGAGCCCAGATGTAAATCCGCACATTTACAACCAACTCATCCTTGACAAAGGCATCGAGAACATAACAATGAGGAAAGGACAGTCTCTTCAATAAACGGTGCTGAACAAATGGACACCTATATTAGGAAGAATCAAACTAGATCCCCATCTCTCACATACGGAAAAATCAAATCAAAATGGGTTAAAGACTCGAATCAAAGACTGGGGGAGTCAGCAGCGGGGAGCTGGGGGGTGCTGGGGTCAGCAGGGGTGTGGCCCGGCGTGGGAGTCAGGAGGGGCACAGAGAGAGGACAGTGAGGAGGGGACAGCAAGAGGAAGGTCAAATGTCAGCAGAGGCCACACTGGGCACGGCCGCTACCTTGTGCAGCAAGAACCGCCAGGTCCCGAAGCCCCTGCTGAACGGGGCCTATTTCGCCTGGCACAGGGCACGCCCCAACTTTGGGCTGCCCCTCTGGGACCATCTTGGCTATTCGCAGGGCCCCTCACGCTTCCAAGTACGTTTCCGAATCAGCTGCTCGATTTTCAGTCTTTCAGGAGCTGCGCTGAGTCTGTGGACCTGCGGCGGGCGCCTGAGCGTCTCGGACAGCGGACGTGCTTGCGTGGACAGATGCCCGGTGGATGGTCCTGACACTGGGCGTCCACGTGATTTTTTCTGTTATCAAGTTACCTCTCCAGCCTGCTGCTCCCGAGACCCTGACTATGGAGGTTTCCAGAGCAGCCACCTGGACGTGCTCCAGTTAAGTTTTTTGTGTCAAAATTCTTATTTCCTCAAAACTCACCACTTTGACGCGTCAGTCTGAGTGGCTAACCCCATCTCAGTGCCCGCCCACGGTGGCCCTCAGCGCTGATCAACTTGGGACGCACAGTGCTAATCCATGGGCTCTAGGGCCTCTTTTCTCTCTTTTAAAATAAGATTTCCCCTCACACCCTAGAAAAATATACAACAGTTTCTGGCTACTAGCAATCCAAATTGAGATACATGGAATATATTTAACTTTCAAAGTCACTTTCTGCTGCATAAAACACAAGCATGCGCACACACACACACACACATCCAGACCCAATCTGCAAGCACTTCACAGACACAGTCGTAATGGGAAAAGGAAAGACGACCTATTGACGCGAAGAAAACGATGGCCAGGAAGTCACGGATGGGCTCGGTGTAGGACGTGATCTCCTCGGTGGCCATGTGGCCCTGGGAAGAGATGAGCGCTCCGGCCAGGAAACAGCCCAGCTCCATGGACACATCCAGCAGCTCTGTGACCTGAGGGAGGGAGGCCGAACGTTACACGAGGACATGGCGCAGGTGCCTGAGATCCCGCAGGAACACGGGCACCGAGACGGACGGGGGGCATCGCGACGCAGCCCGCGTCCGCCAGCAAAGCCGGAGGAGGGGCCTGCGGGAGGACGTGGCCATCGAAACCACCACACCAGAACAATGCTACTTTGAAACACGCGAAACACTCGTGTAGACTGCCGTGAACCTCTGGAGTAAGAGCGTCTCCCGAAACTCATTTCCAGCATTTGTGATTCATGTTCTTTGCCCTGACTCAACCAACAGCCCAAGGTGACCTGGACAACGCAGTCGCATCCCCACCTCAAACCCGAGTGTGCAAAGCCAGCCAGCAAGCCCTGAGGTGTCACGAACCAGAGAAAACCACCAGCGAATCCAGAAACGGCTGGTCTGACAACGCACGAGCGTGAGCCGGATCAGAGCGAAGCACAGACGTGACCCGCAAGCCTGTAACTACAGCCCTGTTCACGCGAGGCTTCACACATTCTTACTGAGGCTTTCTGGCACAAAACAACGCGAAAGATGGTTCTCATTTCAAGAAAATAAAACTATGGAAGAGAGCAATAACAAACAGAAAATGAACTTTAAAAAAAAAAGACCATTTATAATAGCATCAATAAACACTGAATCCTGAGAAATAAATCCAACAGAATGCAGAAGCTCTACACCCAACACTGCGACACACTGCGCAGACGCACGCACGGCTGAAACAAGCCGCGGGAAGCTCAACGCCACACGGGGCGGTCTCCCTCAACGGGCGGCAGACCCACGGGGGTGTCGACGAGACGCCTCGTGTGTGGAAACCGACAAGCTGCGTCTAAAAACTCACGTGGACGTGGGAGGAGCGTGGGGGTGGCCAAGGCCGCCCGGACATGGACAAAGCTGGGGCCTGGACACAGCCAGGTATCAAGCTGCGGCGCACGTCGGGGCAGGTGAGCAGAGGGACACACGCAGAGCCAGAAACAAGCACACCACACACACGTGTAGACACCACTCAGGAAGCATACATGTGCACATACACACCACTCACAAAACACACATTCGTACACTTGCCACTCAAAAAGCACACGCATGCATGTATACCTCACACACACACGCACACGCAGAGCACACACGCATGCGCACACGCGGCTACTTGGTTTCCAACACGGGCATTCAGCAACGCCCGTGAAGTCCTGTCCACCACCGCATCTGAACTCCACGGCCACGCCCGGGCGGACTGCGGGTCTGAGCAGACTGTGGAGCCGCGCACTGAGACGATGACAGGGAGCGGCCTCGCGGCTTCAGGGCACAGAGATCTTCCCGCAGAACCCGGGAAGTGCTGACCAAACCCAGAACACCGACACGCGGATTGCACTGAAGCCAGGAACTTCTGTTTGTCACACAATGCCACTGAGAGCGCAAAGGCGAGCCACCAGCCAGGAGACACTGGCGCGGACACGTCTGGCACGGAGGGGCGCGGGCGCGGGCGCCTCTCCGCCGCGGACGAACGCTGAGGACAGTCGAGTCAAAGAGCCAGGCGCCAAGGCCACACGTGCACGACGCCGCTTCCCCCAACGTCCAGACGCAGCGAGTCCGCGGGGCAGGCCGCAGATGCGAGGTCATGAGGGATGAGGGGAGAATTGGGGGTACAGGCTTTCTTCGGGGTGACGGAAATGCTCCGTGACTAGACAGCGGTGATGGGCGCAGCACTGTGAACACGCTCAACGCCGCTAGGATGCACACTTTAAAATGTTGAAATGAATTTTATGCCATGTGAATTTCACCTCAGTAAAAAAATAAAAAAAACAAAGACAAAAAATTTGCCAGAATATATATGAAGAATCTTTACAAACGAGTAAGAAAATCACCACCCTACAGAAAACCGCCTGGAGACTGTGACAGGCACGTCCATAGTGGACGCCCAGACGCCCCTGAAACCAGGGAAGTGAGGCCGAACCCCGAGGCGCCACACCCCGGGAGCAAGGTTGGCGGGGCCGTGGGCGGGAGCTCTCTGGAGGTGCGAGTCAGTCCAGCGCTTCGGAGACACTGGGGCAGTTACCCGAGCCAAGCACCCGCGCTCTGACCCAGCCCCTCCATCTCAGACACACCGTGCACGCGGCAGACACGAAATCGCGTTTCAAACCCAAGTGTGAGATGTGCTGAGGCCTTGTCAACGACAGCCACGTGTGTGCACAGCCCCGCGCGTGCACAGCCCCGGCACCTGCGGTGGAAGAACAAGCCGTGACAGATGCACGGAGCCAGGAGGGGACTCGGGAGGTGCAGCAGCTCAGGTGCTCCGCGAATGCTGTCAGACGCGGCAGGCAGCGGAGCACCAGCGGGGAGAGGATGTTTCCGCTCGTGGAGCTGCTTGGAAGGAGCGCGGAGGCTGCCCGGGTGAGACGGATTTGTCGCAGTTCCTTTCAAAGGGAAAAGCGCTCTGGATGGATGAAGCAGGGCGAAAGCTTAAATGAGTCACGTTCGAGAAACAGAGTCACTAGGAGCAGCTTTGGGCAGAAGCGGATCGAGGTCTTCCTCCAACATTGTGAAATACCACATACAAAAATTAATTTTTAATTTACTTCTTTAACTGAAACTTTTGAGACAATTATCCATTCACGTGCAGTTTTAAGAAATAACGCAGGATTCTCCTGCGCCCTTTGCTTCACTTCCCCAAGGTGACAGCCTGCCACACGACAGGCGCAGCCAGAGCCAGGACCCCGGCGGGGACGGCACGAGGACGCAGCACACCGACCCACCCAGCCCCTCCGTCTCCTGGCCACCACCCACTGTCCCTCAGTTTCTGAATTCCGTCGCGTCACGAATGGGCCACACGGCACGCGGCCTCGGGGCTGGCTTCTCCACCCGGCACCGTCGGATACCAGCGGGTGCCGTGTGGGTTCACTGCGGCGAGCGTCCCATGGTGCGCTTGTCGCACGGTTTGGCATTCACCCACTGGAGGATGTTCCGACCGTTTCTGGCTAATACTAATCAAGGTGTGAAGTGAGTTCACTTCTCCGGGTAAATGTCCAGAAGCGCAGTTGCTGGGCTCTGTGGCAAAGTGCCTGGCGACGTCCCTATTTCGACCGCCCAAGGGCGTCCGAGGGCATTTCTTGCTCTCAGGAAGAGCCCGTCCTCGCCACCGGGAGAAGCTGCTTCCCACAGCGAACCTTTCAAGCCTGTCACGCACGTACGGCAGCAGAAGCTGCACTGTTAACTGGCTGGTTATCAGCAAACAACTAAAAATTATTTTCAAGACGTAATCTTACGTTTCAGTTGCAAAGCTATTTGAAAGTTTAAGGCAGAGTGACATGGCTTGATGTTGGTGTTTGAGGCTTTTACGATCACGGATGTGTTTTTGCTGCAGCACTCACAAACAGCATTTTAGCAAAGTGCTTAAGAGCAGGAGTCAAAACAGATCAACGGGCCGAGCTCGCTGCACCGCGTGCTGACGGGCAGCATGGTAACTGCGTACGAAATTAGAAACACTAGTCAGTGTTTCAAATATCTTAACGACCATTAAAATGAAAAGATCAAGAACTGATCACAAGCTTTCAGTGAAACAGATGATAAATCAGACCGTATAAATGACATAATTTGAGAATTACCGTTAACATGAAGAAGACGAGGGCAGATATTCCCAGGATGAGGATCTCCTTGTTCCCTTTGCTTTCCACGTGCAGCCTTCGGTAATACGGTCCCACGAGGTAAGTCTTCATGACAACACACAGAAGCAGGACGGCGGCCAGCGAAAACAGAATCTGGCCGGTCAAGACCAGCATCCGCAGCAATGCCATGGCCACGCTAGGGAAGAAGAGACAGACACGTCACCCCACTCCCGCAACCTTTCTCTCTGAAACTCGATAAAGTGATTTTCGCTTTTTTCTTTACCATGTCGCAAAACAAATTACCCAAATCATACACATTTTTATTTTCAAATACTAAAACCCATGAGTCATACTAATTTCAGAAATTAAGTTACTTAAATCGAATACAGAAAGAAGGCGGATCGTTTTGCCATCAATACTTCGGAGCAAACACACTTTCTCGGATGTGAGAACTCCCAACTGGCGGCCTTCCTGCGTCGCGGAGGCTTGGTAAGAAAGCTCCTCCCCAGGAACCAGCCCGACGGTCCTCGCGAGGCCTCGTCACCGTGGAAGTTGCACTGCAGTTCCGACACTCGCGGCCCAACTAGAGGATGCCGCCGCCTGCAGCAGAACGCCCCTACTCCCGAGTCGGGAGCCCCGAAGTTTGCGTCGAGCGCTGAGACTCTGCTACGCTCTTTTTAGAACATGCTCCTGGATCTCAGGATGGTTAGGATCTCAGCCTACAGATTGTCACAAGAAAGGCACCGCTGTGTGTGTGTCATCTTTACACACGCACGTGTATTTTTAAACTCAGCTATCCACCATTCAGTCCAAACTGGTTTAAACGTCTCCTCGGCGGAAGAAGCCTGTCTCAGTCCTGGGAGTTTCTTCACTGCAGCCTAGCGCCAAACAGCCGCGCTGGAAACACACACCTCAAGCTGCCCCATTTCCTGGGGCATCGGAACAGAGTGGGGCTTGAAGCCGAGAAAGATGGACTGAAAAAACCAACGACAGGTATGCGAGAAACGCCGGGGGAAGAAAGTCCCGAGTCCTTCAGAAGAGCCCACGTCTGTGGACAGGGACGGACAGCCCACGTCTGCAGCCCTGGCGGGAACTGCCCCACACAGACCAGCCGCCCCGCACAGCCAGGGCCCCACAGTCCTCGGCAGGCCTGGCCGGGTCCGGCCCGTGCCCGGCACTGTGGCCACCACTGAGCTGGGCTGCCGGCCCTCCCTCCACAGCTCTACTAACCCCCCACCCGCCGTCCACAGAGGCCCACACAGCTCGTGGGGAGCGTTGGGCAGCCCCTGGGCCTGCGGTGGGCCCAGGCACCTTGGCCACCCCCTCCGGCTGTAGCCTGCGCACCAGGCGGCCTCGCCCGAGTAGCCGGCGAGTCATCTTCTACATAACACGTTCTGGGGAAGGCTCCGTGTCAGCCAGCGCCCGTCCAGTGCGTCTGAACGCTGCGTGAGCGTCCCAGACACATGTGCCAGCACTCACTCAGCCAGGCACAAGGCTGGTGCTGGTCCCTGCTACGCCGCGGTGATGAGGCGTCCCGCGGGGCACGCTCCTGCACGCAGTGGGGGCTGGCGCAGGGAGGCGCGGTCTACGCATGGTGGACGCCGTCCGAGGGGCTTGGTGCAGAGAGGCACATTTCGTGTCATGATGAACTCTCCCCGAGGGGGTGGGGAGGGACGCAGATCTTACTTTAGGATGACACTGTCCAAGGAGCTGCCAGGAGGCTGCTCCAACCCCCACCACCAGCCGTGCCCGAGAGCACCCGCTCCCCTGCGCTGGGCAGCATCGACTGTAACGGTCACAGCATGGGAGGTAAGAGGGCCCCTGTCCTTCCGTGGTGCCAGGGAGCATTCGGTACCTGACTCGTCTCTATAGTAAATGCTCGTGCTGCTCAGCTGCTTTTACAACGCATCACTCACATTTTTCTTATTAATGTATAAGGCATCTTTATAACATAAAAACATAACCCTCTTTCTTTTTTTTTTTGAGACAGTCTCGTTTTTGTTGCCCAGGCTACAGTGAGTGCTGTGGCGTCAGCCTAGCTCACAGCAACCTCAAACTCCTGGGCTCAAGCCATCTTCCTGCCTCAGCCTCCCAGAGAGCTAGGATTGCAGGCGTGAGCCGCCGCGCCCGGCCCCCTCTTCCTTTAGTATGTATGTAAATATCTTTTTCCGGTTTTCTTTTTCATTGTTTTATTTTAGTTTTTTTAGAGACAAGGTCTTGCTCTGTCGCACAGGCTGGAGTGCAGTGGTGCGACCACAGCTCCCTGCAACCTCCAGCGATGCTCCCTCCTCGGCCTCCCCAAGTGCTGGGGCTGCCGGCCTGAGCCAGAGCCAGGCCCAGCTCTTTGGTACTGGCCTCCGTGTCCGGCTCTCTGCCTGGGCGATGCTTGGAGGGAAGCAGCTCGTTCCTTCCCTTGGGAAAGGTCGAGATGAACCCTGACTAAAGCGTGACAAGGAGAACACTCATTTTATTTCTTTGATTTTTTAAATATAAATTTTCCCTGGTTATTAAAACTAGAAGAGAGGTTTTCCTAAAAAATAAAGAAGTATATATAGTAGGGGGAAAATTATCACAAACCTACTAGTCTCCCAGGAGAAAATCATTAAAACCGCGCTGCAGGTATATTTCTAACCTCTTCACTCATTTTCTTCTGCATGCGGTTAAAATAACATCACGTCTACCTTGTAACAGCTTTGAGATATGATTCACATACCATACCCTCATCCACATGAAGTATACGATTCAATGGCTTCTACGATATTCACAAAGTTGCACAAGCATCGCCACAATCAAACTTAGAACAGTTCGTCACCCCAGGAGAAATCCTGCGCCTGCAAGCACCCACTCCCCACTCCCAGCCCCTGGCAACCACTGATCCACTTTCTGTCTCTGAGGATTTGCCTGTCGCGAGCATTTCATACAAATGGAATCATACGGTATGTGGCCTTTGTGTCTGGCTTTTTTCACTGAGATCATGTTTTCAGGGTTCATCCACACTATAGTATGAATCAGCGCTTCATTCTTTTTTATAGCTGAATAACATTTCACTGTATGGATGTATCACACTTTGTATATCCATTCGTTAGCGGATAGACAATTACATTCTCAATACCTATTAACTATGACGAATAACGACACTTGAACACACACGTGCAAGTCTGGCTGGCAGAGCGGGAGGTCTGCTTACACCAGCATCGCCACAGGCACGCGAGAAGCACACTGCGCCTCAACATGTGACAGCTGTGACGTCACCAGGCAACAGGACTGTCAGCTCCACTACGACCCGATGGGACCTCCGTCACACGTGTGCTCTGTTGCTGACCGCAGTGTTGTCGCGCAGCCATGACTGTGTTCAACGGGTAGGGGGAAGGGAGCTAAACAGAAACGAGGTGTTTGCACGTCACACAAAGTGGCCACACACTGATTCCAGCCAGCTCTGCCGAGCTGCGTGTGCCCACGTGACACCGGGCAACTCCCGAGAAACTACACACAGCAAGACACTCAAAACATGACAAATAAACCTAAGTCAGGCCCTAAAAACATGCGAGTAACCCACAGGGACATGAGAAAAAAGAAAAGGAGGAACAGCAAACAGAAAACAAAAAGAAAACAGATAATAAAATGCAGATTTAGGTCCTGACGTATCGATATTTTCCTGAAATGTACGTGGTCTAAACACCAGTTAAAAGACAGAGATTGGCTGAGTGGACTTGAAAAAAATCATCCGGGCGACATTTGCCCACAGGAAACCCACCTCCAACACGACAGCATGAGCAGGCTGGAGGCAAACACACGGGAAAGACAGCATTGCAGACAGCAACCACAGCAGCAGGAGGGACCATGTTAGTAACAGATAGAGTAAGACGAAGGGAGGAAAATTGCTGAGAACAGAAAGGATATCGCATGACGACGAGATGACTCCGCCAGGAAGACAGAAGGACCCTAAATGCGCGCACCACGCAGGAGCCCCAACCCCCCGGGGCGGAACCGGCGGGCGTTCGGGGGGAGGCGGCCAACCTTCCGTTGGCAGTTGGGGCTTTGGGCCCGTTGGCCTTCGGCACTGGGGGGGCGGCGGAACGGGGGGCCCGGCCCGGCCCCACGGGGTTCCCCGGCCTTCGGTGGATTGCCCCCTTGGTTTTCGGCGGACCCCACGTTTCCCCAAGTGACTTTGGAGCCTTTTCCACAGGCCATAAAACAAACCTCAACAAATTTACAGAACTAAAAATCGTACAAAGTGTTCTCTGACCACGGTGGAGTCAACCTGGAAATCAGTAACAGAAAGACAACAGAAAATCTCCAAATGACTGAAATTAAGCAGCACTTCTAAACAATCCATGGGTCAAAGAGGAAGCATCAAAGGAAATTTAGAATGAAAAATGCAACATATCAAAATATATGAGATGCAGCTAAAACCATGCTGAGAGGGAAATTTATAGCACTAAATGCTTACACGACAAGAAACATTCCAAATCAATAATCTACGTTTACACCAGGAGAACCTAGAAAAAGCAAAATAAACCCAAAGCAAGTAGAAGGAAGAAAATAATAAAGATAAGGGTAGAAACCAATGAAATTGAATACAGAAAAATAGAGAAAAATCAATGAAACAAAGAACTGGTTCTCTGAAAAGGATAATAAAATCACCAAACCCCTGGGAAAACTAACAAAGGAAAAAGAGAAGACGCAAAGTACCAATATCAGGAATGAAACGAGGGTATCACCACAGACCTGCAGATGTCACAATGACGAAGGAAGACCACAGGCAGCCATACACACGCAAAACTGACGACCAGGACGGAATGGAACAATTCCTCCAAAAGCTAAACTACCACAACTCCACAACATGAACTAGATACTTTCGATAGCTCTGTAACTATTACGCAAATTCAATTTGCAATTCAAGCAAATTCCCCGGAAAGAATCTCACGACCCACATGATTTTCCTGAAGAACTCCACCAAATACTAAGGGAGAATTAACATCAATTTTATGTAACGTTTTCCAGAAAATAAAGAGGAAGGGATACTTCCAAAATCATTTTATGAACCTAGTATGACTCTTAATACCTGAACCAGATACAAAGTATATATAAAAAAAGAGAACTACACACCAATCTCTCTCATGAACTTAGACCCAAAATCCTCAATAAATTAGCAAACTGAATGCAGTGATGTATAAAAATAATTATATGCGTAGACCAAATAGGATTTACTCCAGGTGTGCAAGGCTGGTTCAATTTTCAAAACTCGATCCGTGTTACCCGCCATGTCAACTAGCCAGAGAAGAAAAAGTGCACGACCCCACCAACTGGCACAGAGACAGCACCTGACAAAATACAGTGGTAAACACCGTCAGCAAACGAGGAACAGAGGGCGACTTCCTCATCGTGACGAAGAATATTTACAAAAACCTACAGCTAACGCGGTGCTCAGCGGTCAGAGTGACCCGCCCCTGCAGCCAAGAGCCAGGCAAGGTGCCCTCTCATGGGATCTTGCTGGAGGTTCCAGCCAGTGCAACACGGCAAGAAAAAACCTGAAGCGTTCAGATCAGAAAGGAAGAAACGAAGTACACAAGACAAGTCTTAGTGTTCAAACTGGTTCCAAAAGAAATTTCCAAAAAGTCTACTAACTTTGGACCATTTGTATCCTTACTGCAAGAGACGTAATAAATGCATTCTCCGGAGACACTTAAGGTACAATATTTATGTGCATAAATTATAGTATATTTGCTTAAAGCCAACCCGAGCTTTCAGTCCTATGCCACAAGCAGCACACCCTCACACTTCGCAGGGCACCTGGACTTTCCAGGTGCATCCCTTTCCTGGCTGGCATCCTCGCGATGTACGTTACACGCAGCATAACCCACACCCTTCTGTGCTCACAAGCCTGCGCCATGCGAACTCTGAACGTCTCTCTGGAAAAAGGCATGAAACAGGATTTTTATATACCAACGATTTCAAATGAGAACAACTTCGTCTAGCAGACGTTTACCTGGCGGACGCGCCGGCTCCGGCTTGGATGAGAGTCGGCAGGACGGCTATGAACAGCCCCAGCTGCACGTCCTGCGCCACCAGCATCCCGAGCAGCACGGTGCTGTAGTCGATGTCGCCTGCGTGGGGAGAGAAGTGACTGAAGACACAGGTTGACCGCAAGCTAATGTCCCGAGTGGACATGCGGTCGTGCACGTTTCCACGATAATCCAGATAATCTGGTACTTCAGACTTTAAAATCTCGGAGAACAAACACTGAAGCACTTTAACAGCCAGAAACTTTTTCTGAAGCGAATCACCAGAATGTTTTATTTCCACTACTTAGTAAAACTGCCAAGCCCCTAGAAAGACTAACAAAGGGAAAAGAAAGAGAAGATGCCAAGTGCCACCATCAGGAATGAAACAGGACAGCACCACAGACCCTGCGACATCGAAGAGTTACAGCAAGTGTTACAGCGACCCGTCCCGAAGGGAATAACCGAGCGGCACGCGGAGTGTTGGAGAGTCAGCGTTTTATTCGCCGGCGGGCCCAGAGGAGACTTGTCTCCAAATTCTGAGCCCCGCTTCCTTATTTTTGTCTAGTTTTATACTTTTTTGGGTTACATACATCCAATAGCATACAAGCATAAGTGGTTAACCAATTAGCAACAGGATTCAAAAGATAGCCAATTAGCAGTAGTTTTTACAGGCATTTGTTTTGTGACAGGCTTATAACTTTGCTTAACTGTTTTGCGGTTTTAGCGGAATTTCCCAGACGTTTTCTAATACCATTTCTCAGAAGTTCCCCTAACAGAAGGACGATAGAGGAACACTACGAACAACTCCACACGTGTAAAACTGACAACCGAGACAGAACGAAACGCTTACAGGAAAAGGCCATTGCAAAGAGATGACGGGAGAATCAGGAGACGACGGGCTTGGACAGCCACGCCAGTCTCGCTCTGTGCCCAGAAACACATGCAGCAGCTTCGCCTCCGACCTGTGCGCCTTCCCCGAGCGGCTCCAGAGAGGCCTGCCTCAGCCTGTCGGGGACCAGTGCTGTGTCCCACGTGTGCAGACCCGCCTCCACCCCAGTGAACACCTGCTCCGGGTGAGACACACGCGGGCTCGGTGGACACACGGGACAGAGGGCTGTCGCCGTGCCTGGCTGGTAGGAAGAAAGGGAAGCGCCGCGTTTTCCGTGAATCCAGCACGGTGCACACGCCTCCCGATGTCTCCATGTCAATCACACAATTCTGGCTTTGGACTCTTTGAATGTGCTTCTGAAAATTAAACTCCCACCCCAAAACAAGGTATTTTTTATTTTTACAAAAACTGTTTTTAAAGACCAGTCTCACGGAATAAGATTATATAAAAAGCAGAACTAAACAAAAACACAAACCCTCACTGCCAGCAAAAATCTCATTTTGATGGCAAGTTCAGGCAACCCTTTCAGGGAGCTTGATTTACTTACTACATAAAATTAAGTTGCTGGTGAGCAAAGTATCTTGGCTTAGAATTTTAAAACGCACTAACCAGAAATTCTTAATAAAAATTTCAAACTATGCAAAAGTAGAAAGAATGATACAATGCATCTCTAGGAACAGATAATACAGTCTCAATGATCGACTCATGACTAATCTTCTTGCATGTATTAACCTCTATCCTGTCCTCTCGAGGGAAATCCCAGACATCCTACGAGCCATAAATCTCCGTGTGCATCTCTAGGGTGTGAAGCTGGGATCAGAATCGGAGAGGAAGAATCAAACGCTGTCGGTAACAGATGACGTTACTTTACGTGCAGAAAACCCTAAAGATTTCCCACACACAAAAAACCTGTTAGAGCTAATAAACCAATTCGCAAAGCTGCAGGGCACAAAAGCAACACACAAAAATCAGTTGCATTTCTACACACTAACAAGGAACAATCTGAAAAGGAGATTAAGAAAACAATTCCATTTACAATAGATCAAAAAGAGTAAAATACTTAGGAATAAAGCTAACCAAGGAGGCAAAAAAACTTGTACACTGAAAATGTCAAAGCACTACTAAAAGACATGTAAGAAGAAACAAATTAACGAAAAGACATCCTGTGTTCGTGCACTGAAGATTTAACATTGTTTAGATGACAACACTGGCCAAACGACTACCACAAATTCAATGCAATTCCTATCAAAATCCCAGTGCTTTCTGAAAAAATGGGAAAACCCACCCTAAAATTCACACGGAATCTCAAGAGATCCCAAATGGCCAAAACAACACTGAGAAAGAGAACAAAGTCAGAGGACTCACACCTCCTGACTTCGAACTCACCACCTGACCACAGCGACAAAACACAGGCTTTAGCAAGGACAGGTTCGTTTCCACTTCTTAGCGGTTCTGTCGTTTCTAAAACAACCATCATAAAACACTTTGGATAGAAAAGGTGCAAAGTGTGAAGTGGACAACTCCGACCATCACCCGCCCCACGAAAGGGAAATGCCGACAGCCCAGCTGCGCGTCCCTCCCCGCCACGCGCAGGGCCTTCTCTGCCAGCGCTACCCTAACCCTAACCCTAACCCCGGACCCTGACCCTAACCCCTAACTAACCCTGCCATGCTACCTTGGGATTTCTCTCTCACTCTTCTCACATGCTTTCACCCGTTACACACGGTATTCCACCGCATGCTGGCCTCTGTATCTGGTGTTTTTCCCTCAGCACCGTAGGATTGATTCGTTTTCTCCTGCGGTACTTCCACATGATCACAGCACGATTTAGTTATCCGGCATACCACTGACACTCGGTCGCTTTTCAATTTTTTTGCTATTAAAAATAATGCTGTTTTGAATATTCTTGTACATTTGCAAGAATTTTCTAGGATACGTGTCTAGAAATGGAATTTTCTGTTTGCAAAGTTGTTCTCCAAAGGGGCTGAACCAATTTACATTCCACCGGGAACTCCACGATCTTGCCGACGCGAGGCGCGTCAGTTTAAAACCCTGCCGGCTCCGTCACGTGAACGGCATCTCGGCGCCATCACTCCGTACTCCCCGAGTACAGTGAGGTGCAGCATCTTGTCACGTGTTTACTGATCACTCGGTTTCCTTTCTGTAAGTCACCTGCTCAGACGCTGGCTATTTTCCTACTGGGCTACTTTTTTGTTCGGACTGATGGTTCTTGACACGCTCTGAGTATCGATCCTTTCCTCCTATGTATCTACCTACCTGAGAAATGTCTTTTTAGACCACCTGTCTTTCCTGACAGGTGCTGAGATGTTTCTCTTGTCCTTGGGGCTCTGCTGTGTATTATGACATATCCAGGGTGAATTTATTTCCGTTTTTCTGTCCAGTTTTGGAGATGTGCTTTCACCTTAAGGGCTCATGTCTCCCTCCGATTCTGAATGACCACCAGGTGTCTTCTCCGGTGTCTCCCGGGACTCCTACCCTGCCCTGCCCTCCTGTCTAGCCTGCCGGTTAAGTCTCCGAGTTCTTACATGTGCTGTCCTCTTTCCTGTCTGAACTGTGCTGTGACTAATCTCATTACATAGACAGATTCCGTCATGTACGTTTCCAGTGTTGCAAGCATGCTTATTTTGGTGTTTATTAGGGTTTTTCATAATAAGGGGAACTCACATTGTGACTGTTGGGATTAGTAGCTGCCTTTTCTAGCACGAGATTTCTTCACAAGTGCAGCTGAGCCCAGGTGTGAGTTGCTCTCACACTTGGTCCCTTTGGGGTCAGGGGTCTCCCTCGGCCCCGGTCAGTCTTTGCTGAGGTCTCACGACGGGGTCTGCCTGCAGCAGCCCACAGGGATGCCTGGACCATCCCCAGGGCAGGGGCGGCTGGTCCAGATACTGCTGGGGCAGGGGGTTGCGTCTGTGTCCCCCTGCTCCCTTGGGTCTGGGAGGAGGCAGCAGATTTTTAGGAGGTTTCTCACCCTCCGTTCCCCAGTGGAAAGTACAACGCCCAGGTCATGCAGCGAGCACACAGGTGGGCCCAGAGCACGGCGGGCCCTCCGCTCCTGCCCAGAGCAGTGTGGCTCTGCTGGGGAGGCAGCCACGTCACTTTGGTTTTCTCTGTTCCTACTTTCTCTTCTGTTCAGTGCAGGTGAGTATCCGTGTGAAGTTGCGTTGACATTGTGACCCTGTGTTTTACTATTACAGAGCAAGGTGACAATGCACCTGAGCAAGACGTCGTGCTGCCAGGGCTCCCCACGGCAGCCGCAGCAAGCCTCTCACAGACTCAGATCAAACTACAGCCAACGAGTAAGAGTTGGAAATACCTTTCATTACCAAAGAACCTCGATTTTATAGGAAAAAAGTATGAAAGGCGTGTCAATCCCCAGTTCTTGCCAGAACAGAAGCAGGGAAACAGTGGGCATCGACCTCTCAGGCCCCCGGGTGCGCAGCACACTGCTCAGTGCAGACTGGCTTCTTTCCATCTCGGTCCACCTCCTCTCTGGCCCTCCAACGAGCCTGCAGGTGTGTGCAGGGCAGGGCGCACCTCGGTCAAGAGGAGCAGCCGACGTCGCGGGACGTCCTGCTCCTGGAACGTGCCTAAGCACCCTGGCCCGTCGGCAAGGCCCCAGGAGGGAGACAGGCCCGCGACCGTGAATTCGAGCCGCGCGAACAGCAACTCCACGTATGGGGGACACGCCACCACCTACCTTCTTTCTCTGCCCGGGCACTGCCCGCGAGGAAGCGGGACACTAAGGGCGTGCTCGACAAGGAGAGGCAGGTAGAGATGAAGACACTCTGCGTGGGTCCGATCTGTAACAGGTGTCCCCACAGCAAGCCAAACGCGACCATCAGCAGGGTCATGTAGCACGGCCCTTGCAAGGATATCCTCCACACCTTAAAGACAGCACATCACACACGTTAGTGACGACAGGCAGCCTCCCGCCTGGCACCATACAGAGGTCATACGTGCATGTGTCCAGTAAGGGACACACGCCTGATCGTTTAGGGAGCGACTCCTGGGTCACACATCCAACGTCACATTCTTGACACAACGAACACCTGTACAACGCTTACACGTGCCGGGCATTGTCACAGGGGCTGTTCGCACACGCACCACACACATATGTAATGTTACATACGTACGTTCTCCCCCATAGATGTAAATGAACAAAATCTAACCTCAGAGGTCGGGTTCGCCACGTCCCCACTTTCAGATGAAAACAGTGAGGCACACGGAGGTGAGGTGACGTGGCCAAGGTCACGTGGAGCCGGGCAGCAAACGAACCCTGAGTGTGGCTCCACACTCCAACGAGCAATTACTAGGTGCCGGGGAGGCCCCAGGACAAACCTGACAACGAAACCAACCTGCGACCCTAACCCTGGAGGGCTCTCGACTATCTGAAGAGAGGAGATAATAAAAACTACCTGGTACCTGCAAAACATGAGCGGAACGTACCAACAAAGGAATTGGACTGGAGCTCACCCTGTTCTGTTCGAGCACTTGCCTGCCTCCACCCTTCACCGCACACCCCGTCAGAGCTTAACCAGCACCGAGCACCGATTCCAGGGCCTCCGCCGAGCGTGACAGCGGGGGCCCGGAGGGAGGGGCGGGCGGGGCTGCACACAGGTGCTGGCCCAGGCCCCTGGGGTTTCTGAGGAGGGGCTCGGGTGGTCATTCCTGTAGGAAGTGCTCACTAGCTCTGACGCAGGCGCTTCCTGCCCTCGAGGGACACCTGACTTCAGGCTTAACTCTGTTGCTAACAAGCTCATACCCTGGGTAGGTGATAACTCCCTCGCCTTAGTTTCCACATCTGTGAAGAGGAAGGGCAAGATTAAATTATTTCAGGGTCATCACCAGACAAACCTTCCTTGACCACGTTATCAAGTGTCTTTCCGCGCCGTGGCCAAGAGGCCCAGGGGCCCACTTGCCTGCGAGGCAAAGTGTGGAGGGGCCCGCGTGGAAAACGACAGGCAACAGTCGTCAGAAGCTTCCTGTCCAGCATGGAACCTGTGGACTGCTGGAAACGCAGCCCCCAGGCCCCCAGGTCAGGGTCTGCGTCTGGCGGGACGCCCAGGTGACCTCGTGCCTGTCGAGTGCAGGAAGCAGCACGGCGAACCTGCAGGCTGTGGCCCTGGGCCCTCTGCCCTGGGACCCCCACCTCAAATACCGTCTCTCAAGGTGTTTTCTTCTGCCTTTTCCTAAGACCTGGGCTTCTGAAATCCCAAAATGTCGTCCCCAGGGTAGGGCGTGTCTGCGCCACACTCTACCTCACCCCCAGCAGCTTCTGGCGGGTCAGACGCGACAGGAGCTCAGCAAGTATTTGGCGGGAGAACGAGTAAGGTACGAAAGAGAGGAACATGTAACTCCGCCCCCGTGACTTCAGGATCTGTTTAGAGAGCAGCAGAAACTAACAAACTTGAGAGAGAAGATTTAAAGAAGAGTCTAAGCTGAGCCAGAGGAGCGCCATGAGGCAGTGTGGGCTCACTCGCGCATCGACGCCAGACGCTGGGAGCAGGGCACCGCGACCCTCCTTGGCGTCAAGTGACGGGAAGTCGCAGACTCCAGTGCTGTGGACAGTTTCTAACCAGACCTTCAGGAGTTCTACTGAAGTCCTAAGAGGGCCTTTCTAGCAATTATTAGTATTTCGAAAAACGCGGTGAAATCATCTGTCTGCCGTGAGAGGCAGGCACGTGGGTGGAGCCCGTCAATTCAGAACAATCACCCTGGTCACGTCAGGCGGTTCCAAAGCTTTGCCTGAGCTCAAGCCTGAGTGATAAATAGACTACTCAGTAACGTAATTTACTGGGTAGATATAAACCTTCTGCAATCCGAGTCCTTGGACTAAGAGAGCGGCGAGGTGCATCCTTGGCGAGCCCGAGTGCAAGCCGTGTTGGGGGCCACCGCCGGGTGGCAGCAGCAAAGACCCCAGAACCGGGAGGGGCAGGTTCTTGTCCCCACAAGACGCGAGGAGGGCGAGTGACCACGTCAGGCGCAGGCGGAGCACTCACGGAAGGGCTGCGACTCTTTCCCACTCAGCAGACTGCGTCACCACCCGACCTGCTGAGCCTCTCGCCCGCGTCCAGCACACACTTCCTTCCGAGCCAAGTCAACGCCACCACCGCACGCTCAACAGCTGGGTGCAGAGCCCTGAGCGCGACTCGAGCAGCATCAACACCGACACAGCCGTACTGCTTCTACGTCATTTAAAATCATCATGCTGACGTTACATCATGTAACGCTATCTTATGTTATTTAACTCTGATTAGTACAGCGGAGAAAAATATAAATTATGTAAAAACTGTGCTTTTCCAAATTCCTCCCTGTGGGGATGAGGAAACTGCTGTCGGGGTGGTGCAGCGCCTTGCTGGGTCCCACTGTCAGGGGCCAGCTGAAGCGGCTTCCCACCCACCCCGCCCAGCCTCCCCGCGGCGTCTGCGCCAAGTCGCCCAGCTACAAATTTCCCTGGGTTAAACTCAGGCGGAAGCCCAGGGACCCCACTGCACTAGACATGGAGCAGCCCCAGGCGACACTGCACCGCCCTAGAGACGCCGCCCAGGCCAGCCTGTCCTCCTCCCACCACAGCACGAGCTCAACAGAACTGCGGAAGGGCGGGCTGCTTCCTCCAGGGCCCAGGAAAGGGCGATTTCCTTAACCTCTGAGTTCAGAAACTGACGCTCCTGGGCTCTGCATGCCAGAAACAAGGAAGGGACAGGGAAGTGATTCAGGAGCCTCGCGAGGACGCTTGTGTGGAGGAGCATTCAAAGGAAAGTGAGAGGGATCCGCGGATGGAGAGGTGAGGCTTTAGCGGAGAGAGAAGGTAAGGAAAGCAGAAGGTCCTGAGGACAGACAAGCCCAGGAAACAAACGGGAAAAGAATGTAAAAAAGATGTCAGTGAAATCAGAGCAGCCACTCTTGAAAGCAAACACAAGGCTTTATTTCTCACTACCATATAACAAAGTATATACTGATTAGCATAGAAAATTTAGAAAATGTGCAGAAAAATGAATTCATCCATGGTTATTTGGTATACTTACTTACTGTTTTCCCCACGTATCCGTGCTTCTTTTAGATTGCCACGGTCATGTTATATGCTCATCTTTTTTCAAATTTAGCGCCGTAACAGTTATTTTTGTCTGTTACTATCCGTTCATGTAACATTTTAATGGCTACTTAGTATTCCAGCAAGTAGTTGCCACAGCTCAGCTGAGCACTCACTATACTCAAGACTGCTTCCAATCCTGCCTAAAAATGCTACAACGAGGGCCCGAAAATATCCGTGGGTAAATTTTTTTTTAATCTATGTGTGAGTCTGTCCTTTGCATAGAGACACAGAACTACTGGGTCAGAGGCTCTAAAGTCAAACTGCTGGACGGCTCTCCAGAGAGGGCGTGAGCTGCGACTATCACCAGTCTGGTTCCAGAACGCCTGTGTCATCGCCCCGCACGGTCACCTAGAAACTTCTGCTGGCCTGCTGTCGGCACCGTGGCTGGTGCTGAGGCGGGCTGGCACCGCCTGCAGCAGCGTTTCTGCTGCGGCAGCGTGTCACTGCCCCGCCCACTCCGCTTTACGTCAGCAAAGTACCTTGTGATTACCTCACTTCCAACGCAGGAAGTTTCTCTAGGGTCAAACACTGAACATTCCATCTTCACGACGCTTCACCCTCTCACAGTTCTGCACGTTCGTGGAGGGACCCACATACGAAAGTTCAAACACGTTACTTCTCAAATCTTTTCTGAAATTAGCCACATGGAAGCTAACTCCAGTTATTCACTGAAATTCCACTTTTTCAAACTTAGCATTTGTCATCTTTTTGCATTTATGTTCAAAAATTAATACCAGACTGAAATATCATATTCTATTCTAAAAATATCTGATAGTCAAACCGTCAACAGATGTTAAAAGTGAACAAACCAAACCATATGATATGAAGTTGCTTAGAGGCAACAGGTCCTTACCTTTCTCAGCTTTTCTGGAGAAAATTCTAAGCCAACAAGAAAAAGAGTAAAAAACACCCCAAATTCTCCTAATGTCTCCACTTGTACAATAGACTGAAAAACAAGAAAATTTGAAACCATATAATTTTATGTTTACTTTGTCAAGTATACTTAACTGAACAATCATGTACTTATATTACTCAGTGGGGATACCACCAAAAAAAACAGTATTTTCTTAAAGAAACCAATTCTTTGACTTTCTTCTATATCTGAAATAATTTTGACTTCCTGATTGCAGATTTTTCTTTCCTTTTCTCCTGATTAGCTAGAGGAATATTTAATTTCCATTTTATTTTATAAGAACTAGCTCACGGATTCACCTATTTTCACATTCATAGCTGCTTTAACCTCCACGAGTTCCTCTCCTTGGCCTTCCTGGGGCGTGGGAGGCCCTAACTTGAGTTTGGTGCTTACCCGACGTCCACTGCTTGCTCCGTCTGGGATGGACACTTTCTCGTTAGCACCCGTCGGCCATGCCCACGGGTTTCCGTGTGCAATGTTCTCTGTTTTGAGTCTTCATCTGCTGTTTACTTTTGATGTGATCACACTGGAGGATGTCGTCTGTAACTGCCACACTCCACCACTTACGTTTCAGGGTTTGTGGTGGCTACTGTTTGCTCAGCTCTTTGAAACGTTCAGCGGCCCAGGCGTGGGTGTCCCAGCATCCACGCGCTGCCCCGGCGCCCCGCAAGCTGGCCAGGCTGTCGGCAGGAGGAGTGTGAACCCTGCCCGCTTTTGCTTCGTGTTTTCTCCTTTCTGTCCAGCCTCTGCGGCAGTTCACCCTCACTGACTCTTGTTTACGGGGCTACTTTCCTGACACCGTCTGCAAATCTGGTCTTTCAAAAGGGGAGTTCATTCCATTTACATGTATTGTTTTAACAGCCGTTTGCTCTTATTGCCTTTGTCTTCCAGTTATTATGCTTTATTGCTACTTCTTTCTCTTTCTTCCCTTTTTAAAATCAGACTGTGTGACTTATGACTTCAAAATAACATACTAAAACCTGTATTTCTCAACTTCATCTGTGAAAGTCTATCAACTTCCTTCTAGGAAAATACAAATGTTTTGGTACAATTACAGACGCTTCCCAACCTACCACGAGTTGTGCCCTGATGAGCCCATCGCAGTCAAAACACCCTAAGTCGAGCCAATGGAAGTTGGAGAGCATCTGTGCCCTTCATCCATTAACCACTTCCCACTTTGGCTAGTATGCACTTGCATTTTTATCTTGGTTTATTTATATCATTTTCCACAATATAGCTGATTTGTTAAGAATTACGATATGTACAGTATCCAGTTGTAAATATTACCCCATCATTTAGCCTTACTTCTTTGCTAGGCTTACTTTTTGCATATTTTCTCTTAAGAAAGGAAAAAGCTGGGTGTGGTGACTCATGCATTTGATCCCAGCACTCTGGGAGGCCGAGGCGGGAGGACTGCTTGAGGTCAGGAGTTCAAGACCAGCCAGAGCAAGAGTTTGACCCCGTCTCTATGAAAAACAGAAAAATTAGCTGGGCGTGGTGGCATGTGCCTGTAGTCCCCGTTGCTCGGGAGGCTGAGGCAGGAGGATCACTCGAGTCCAGGAGTTTGAGGTTGCAGTGAGCTAGGCTGATGCCACTGTACTCTACTCAGGGTAACAAAGTGAGACTCTGTCTCAAAACAAACAAAAGAAAAAGGAAAAGAAAAGAAATAATTTGTATTTGCTTTTAGTTGCAAATACTCTGGAAGGGAGGGTGGGACAAGGGCAGAAAGAAATTTCTCACTTATGGCTTTTTATGTTGTTTTGAATCATGTGAAAAATACCTAACCAAAAAATTTAAAAAAGCCATTCTCCCCAGAGACCACTCTGCCCAGGTGAACCCCGCCCTCGGGCACCCTCGCTGGGTCTGCGGTTCCCCTTCAGGCTCATGAACTGCTCCTGGGAGGCAGCAGGAGCCGGGCAGGCAGCCTGAGACCGCTGGGCAAGCTCCCCTTCCCCTGCCGGAGCTCACTGGCTGTTCGGACGGGTTTTGTGTGATTTCTGCTTCAGACCTTTCTGGTTCTGCAGTCTGGGGAACTTGCGGAGCCCAGAGCCGGTTCAGGCCTGTCAGTCAGCACAGGGAACGAGGCCTGGGGGAGCACGTGACCCTCCCTGGTCCCTGCGGCCGCCGGGCCGTGCGCCGTTCCCTCCGTGCAGGGCCAAACACCACACACAGCGCCCTTTCCCTGCTGCTCCCGCTTGTGTGTATTCAGATGACACACCTGGAAGCCCGCGAAAGCTTGGGAACCCTCCCCTGCTGACAGTGCCACCAGCGGACTCAGCGAACCCGTCCAGCAAACAGCCTCGCTGCCAGCGGCCTCTCTGGACCTGGGCTTGTCACTAGTTTTCCCACACGTTAAGAAACGCTTAAAAGTTCATCTGACACAGCATTTCTAGTTGCTTTCGGTGTGTGAAGGGTGGTCTGAATAATCTGGTCCATCACATTACCAGAAAAGGAAGCTCTAAAACTGATATCACTTGAAGACATGAACAGGGTTGATTTTTCTAGCTGAGTCACTCCTTCGTCAACAAACAAAATGACTTCCTCGTGCTTTAAAGAAGACTTCTTACAAAGCTGGAAAGGATGTCTTCTTTTGTATGGTTTCTAAGAAACTTATCTTCGCTAATTCAAGTTCCAAACTTTTTAATCTTCATGAATATCTCTTTTACATTCTGTTAACCAGATACTGAAACACTGATCTTTTGTTCTTACCTTGATACTGTTTAGTCCTGAGGGTCCCAGAAGCACACCGCACATGATGTAACCAAACATCGTGGGCAATCCGATGGCGGTGCACAGCCAGCCGCAAGGCAAAGACAGCATTCCTATGGTCACGATGTCCTAGCGTGAGAGCAGCACAGGTAAGAAACACAGAAACCGAACGCAGCAGTTGAGGAGGAAGCGCTGGCTGACTGAGACTGCAGTTCCCCGATTTCATCTACGGGGAATGGAGGGCAGACGGTGCGGCTGAGACGGGGCGTTTTTACCACGCCTGTCACAGAGACGTTGCAAACAGTAAGAGCGTATTCTGGGACTAGATGAAGGGAGCTCCTGACGGCCTTATGATCACAGCCACCCCTTGGTATCCTCAGGGGACTGGTTCTAGGATCCTCTCCGCACACCCACCCCCAGATAACGAACTCTTCAGGGCCCTGGTCTGATACAAAATGGCCTAGTATTTGCACCCGACCCACTTGCATCCCCCATGTGCTTTGCATCGCCTCTAGCTTACTTAGCATACCTGATACAAAGTAAATTCTACGTAAATAGCCGTCACACACATTTTTTTACTTTGTATTTTTTATTGTGTTGTTATTCTTTGTTGTTTTTTTCCTGAATATTTTCGATCCATGATTGGCTAAATTCAAGGATGTGGCACCAGTGGACACAGAGGACTGACTATATAGCAAAATTTTTCTGTTTTGCTGAAGCCCCGTAAGAGCGTTGTAAGAATTCTGAGGACTAGAATTCCATAGTTTTCCAAGCTGGGAAAACGTCGGAGCTCTGTGTGTGCCCTCCCCACTGGTTCTCCCACCATATGAAGTCAGTACAGCCACCACCCAACCCTGGGTGCAGGCAGGGATCATGGAAGCGTGCTGCAACTACTGAGTGACAGTGTGATGAGGAACGAGACATTTACACAGTCTCAACACATCTCCCCAGAAACTACTTATTCGTTACAAAGGGAGGAAAGACGAGCTTCTCAGTGGAGACGCCCACCCTGCACAGGCACCGAGATGATCAACCCGCAGACCCGAGCCCCTCAGTGCCCGTCCCGACCACACAAGGAGAGTGGTGCATGCACCTGTGGATTGGAGGCCATTGGCACCTGCAGGAGCCCTGGCTCTCTCTGGTCGTCTTCCTCTCAGCCTGTGCTGGCATCGTCTTTAAGACTAGGGTCCCTGGCTTGGTTCCTGTTCCATACAGACTTCCAGGATTAGGGAGTCTTGCTAGAGACCTGGCAATTTGAGGGAGCTGCACCCCGTCACTCCCCGTGGCGATGACTCCAGGGTGCTGGCCTTGAACCCTGATGCTCTCCACTTCTCTGTTTACCTGCACAGCCCTGGACTAGCCCGGCCTCCAGGGAGGACTCGGATCTGAACCTCACTCCCTCTGCAGGAGGCCGCACTCCGCACCCCAGTCCAAGCGAAGCCGTGCGTGACTCCACAGCCAAAACTTCTCTATCTTTTAAGGAGTGTTTACTTTAGTAAAAACAGTTTTGAGATGGCTGAAGCTGTAATCCCATTACAATAACTCCTAATTTCAAAAAGTCTTCCAAATTCTCCAAAACAAGATTTTCATTTTAAATATTAAAATGCCTTATTCCTTTAGAAAGAAAAATTAGAAATTAAGAGAGGACGTCTCTAACCACAGAAAACGTAGGGAATTCTAGCGCAATCTCTTCAGGAGGTGGCTGTGCACCCCAGGGTCACCCTCGCTCTGACGCTGCGGCCAGCGCGGTCTACCTTGATGAAGTGGGGATCCGCACGCGGGATGGTGGCATCTCTGGGCTTGGTCAGGATGTACTGGTTGTTCTGGGAGTCGATCAGCATGCTGAGCCCCAAGCCGCCCTCGCCCTCTCCTCTCGTCACGTTGTGCTTGGCGCCCGCCTCTTCCTCCTCCACCCTCAGCACGGCCTCCACGTTGACCCCTTTCACCTGCAGAACAACCAAAAGCAGCTGGAGTCGGTTCAATGCTTCGGCCTGTTTTCAGAGTAGATGCTAAACAGAAGGAGGACAGAAATGGTCTTAGTATTCTGCCAAATGTGATGAAAGGTCAGCGTTCATTAGCAAGAATTTGGACCTTTTTTTCAATTAAAAAATTGAAGGGACTGGGCGTGGTGGCTCACACGTGTAATCCTAGCACTCTGGGAGACTGAGGCGGGAGGATCACTTGAGCTCAGGAGTTCAAGACCAGCCTGAGCAAGAGCGAGACTCCTCTCTACTGAACAACAGAAAAATTAGCTGGGCATGGTGGCGCATTCCTGTAGTCCCAGCTCCTCGGGAGGCTGAGGCAGGAGGATCGCCTGAGCCCAGGACTTTGAGGTTGCTGTGAGCTAGGCTGATGCCATGCTGTTCTACCCAGGCTGACAGAGTGAGACTCTGCCTCAAAAACAAAAAAAAGAATTTAATGGTAGAAAGGTTTAGAAGTTCTGCTGTTTCCAAATATCTACTTTACCTGATGCAGGGCATATTCTTTCAAAAATTCATAGCCCTGGCCAGGCGCGGTGGCTCACGCCTGTAATCCCAGCACTCTGGGAGGCCGAGACGGGTGGATCGCTCAAGGTCAGGAGTTCAAGACCAGCCTGAGCAAGAGCGAGACCCCATCTCTACTAAAAAATAGAAAGAAATGATCTAGACAACTAAAAATACATATATAGAGAAAAAATTAGCCAGGCATGGTGGCACATGCCTGTAGTCCCACCTACTTGGGAGGCTGAGGCAGAAGGATTGCTTGAGCCCAGGATTTTGAAGTTGCTGTGAGCTAGGCTGACGCCACGGCACTCACTCTAGCCCGGGCAACAAAGTGAGACTCTGTCTCAAAAAAAAAAAAAAAAAAATTCATAGCCCTTAAATACTTATGAGTTTTCCTCTAATTAGTAAATTTTTTAAATACTCTGTTTCTTTCACTGCATTTTTATTCTCTCTCCTTTCTTGTCTAATCTTATTTTGATTTTTTATTATCTAACCCTTTTGTGAGTCCATACCAAGACCCACAGTCAATTTTCTTTAGAATCGTAAACACACGATAGCTGGCAAGCAGCGTAAAATCCTGCTCCAGACACAAAGCCCACCCCGTCCACCTGCATGGCCAGGCTGGGGCGGCGGCAGACTGCAGCTGTTAGGAACACGAAGAGGAAATAAAGGATCTCTGGCTTTCTTCTACGAGACCAAATCGGATCTCGCTCCCTGTGACGCAGAGGTGTTTCAGCTTGTCTTCGTTTCCACTCTACACTGAAAACACACACGTGAACAACTTCAAACACACGTCCCGGGGAGCGAGCAGTGCAGTGGTGCGGAACGACTGGGGGACGCTGCTTACTGATTTGTTGTCGTCGAAGGCGTGCTCCTCTATCTCCTCCTCCAAACGGTCTGCTGCCTTTCGTACATCTTCGAGAATCTCATCGAGCATGGATAAACTTTTGTTTTGATGTTGCATGTTTTTAAGAGCTTCAACCTGATGTTTTTCTGCTGCTAGAAGTTCCACATATTCTGCTTCTTCCTATTCATTTGTAAAAAATGAAGAGTTAGATTCATTAAGAAATAAACCAGGATATGACTTTCTTACATCCACTTAGGTACCTGTAATCAGTCCGTCTGCTCTCCCAGGCCAAGGCCACATCCACGTACGTGTGAGTCTGACCATGGTCAGGTGGGGAAGGCAGGCGTCCCAGCAATTCAAATGTAGCTAGGCTTAGCACCTGTCTAGGGAAAGCTATGGACATGCACATCAACCAACGTAAACATGGTATCTGCAGGCCATCGAGTCACAAAGAAATCATTTTCTGAACTCTGATTATGTTACAGCACCATGCCTACCACGTATGGGAGGTACAGCTGTACTTTAGAAAGAGATGTGATACTTGAATACTATGCTACTATCTAAATTCCTAAGCAGGATACACACAAATTCCGGTTACAAAGGGAAAATTGTTCCAAAAAACATGTATATTCTGACAGCATTATTTGGGAAATTAATGGTTGGTGTGGTAATGAAATTTTGTAAATGTATTTATATATCATATTTAATCAATAACCTCATCTTAAAGTTGCATTCACATCTAAACGGGTGGGGCAGAGTCGGGATAGAGCAGAAAAGGCCAGTGCCAGGAGAGCACTGGCACACACAGCTGCAGGTCTGACCACAGCTGCAGGTCTAGCACACAGCTGCAGGTCTAGCACAGAGCTGCAGGTCTGACCACAGCTGCAGGTCTAGCACACAGCTGCAGGTCTAGCACAGAGCTGCAGGTCTGACCACAGCTGTAGGTCTAGCACAGAGCTGCAGGTCTGACCACAGCTGCAGGTCTAGCACACAGCTGCAGGTCTGACCACAGCTGGTCTAGCACAGCTGCCGGTCTAGCACAGCTGCAGGTCTAGCACACAGCTGCAGGTCTAGCACACAGCTGCAGGTCTGACCACAGCTGGTCATCATTTCAAAAGTATATGTGGTCAAAGTCCTTAACTTAAATGTATGCATTTGTTTAAATTAATTTTAACATTTTTCTCAATAAAATCACATTGAAGAAAGTCAAACTCCACATTAACAGGAATTCCTGTAGAAATTTGGCAAAATGTCGATTGAAGTTATAAATATGTTTATTTCCACGTCAGTTTATTAGTACAATTTGAGTAACTTTTTGAATTACCCAGGAATTTCCCCAAAAATACCATTAGAGACCGGCTCTTTCTAGAAGCGGTAACTACACTACTATGCGAAAGGAAAACATTCCCCCTCATGTCAGAGACTTTCTAGGTGTGATTTCCTATGAACAGGTGATGCCGGCCGAGACGTCGGCCGTGTCCACATCGTCCCCTGCCTCCCCTCCCAGCGCAGGTTTGGCCCGGTGCGAGCCTGACCTTGATGGCTGCCTCTCTCAGGGCCTCCAGACGCTGCCGGCTGCTCTCCTTCATGTTCACGACGTCTTTGTAGTCTCCCTGCAGGGCTCTCTGCAGTCCGTAGATAGCCTGGAAAACGGAATTCTCGCTTTCATTCAGCTCTTTCTGGAAAATTTCAAACGTGTGCACCTGGAACAGTTTCTCTTCCTTAGACAGGCCGACATCTTTTTCCACCACTCTGATTGCACTTTTCAGTTTGTTCAGAACCACGTTCTTCTGGCGAAGCAGCCCAGAGAGCTTCCTACAGCTGTCCAGCACCCACTGCCTCCTCGGAGTGAGGGCTGCGCCTCTTCCCCGGTGCAACTTGATCACGTGCCTCGCCACCTCCGCGTGGTCTGCAGCCTGCGCTACCAGATGGAGCAGGGGAAGCAGCATCCAGAAGAAACGTTCTCCTGGAATCTTCATGATCTGGCGACAGAGCGCAGGGCGCCGCAATCCACAGACTCCTGCTGTGTCGACCTTGCATTTTAGATTCACATTTTCAGCTGAAAGAGACTGTCACACACAGTTAAACAATGGATCACTACTATTGAGATCAGAGTTAAAGCCTTATATGATTAGGGCCAGAACACTGTCACCTCTCTGAAGAAAATATTATTTTTCCTAGATTAGTATCAACATCTGAACATAGACTGAAATCAAAAGCTGAATGTTAATGTTCCTTTTATGGCGCCTGGTAATGAGTGGAGATTAAAGGTTAGTTACATCTGAATTTAAAAGTTTAAAGGCAATTTTTTAAAAAGAAAACTTGGCCTCATATGTCGAGCAACTCCAAATCTAATCTATTTAAGAGGGTCCACATATCAAAGGCCAGAAACTACCATCGATTTCCCTATCACAGACCAGTGGCTGCCTGGGGAAACCATGCTCATCATCGTTCCAGAAATGGAATCTTCTGAGCTCCTAGCAGCTCGCTCTGTCACTTTGCTTGCTTGCTAAAATAATTTGGAATTTTTCCAAATTTCCAAAGTCAGTCTACAGTGAAATGCTAGTAAGACATCAAGGATTTAAAAAAAAAAAAAAAATCACAGAAACAGAGCCATACCTGGATCTCTAGGGCTTTATGAAATGTTCAAACATTTTCTATCATCCAAATTCATTCTCCTTCTCTTCCTTTCTTTAGAAAGAACTAAAGTAATACATATTAATTTGTCCTTGCACGTGTAGCATAGACAAGAATCTGCTTTCTGGAAATTATGTGTGGAGAATGAGAGAGGTTTCAGTCCTCTGTGGCCACGGGGCCTAGCTGGTGACAGGCAGAGGGCAGGGCTGGACCCCGACAGGAAGGAGCATTGTTGGAGGAGTGAGTGGAAGCTACTGATCGCCGGCAGCAAAGGTCACGGAGAGAGAACTCAGAGGCTGGAAAACAGACGGAGGGAGGAAGAAGAAATGAACAAGAGAGGCAGAGTGCCACCTGCTCTAACAGGCATCCACGGGACCAGCCTGATTCCATGGACATCTCTGCCGCTAGGAGATCACTGGTCACAAGTATCTGAGCCAAACAAGAAAAAGAACCCAAACCCACCACTTATTTACACAGGATTTATAGTTTAAAGCAAACAACAAAACTTTATTACATACCATCAAATCATTCTTAACAGCAGCATCCAATAGGTAGTCATGTCAAGAATTACTACTCACCTGTCAAATACACCAACATTTCCCCTACCTGGAGATCTGGCTACTGAAATATCGTCTGTATAATTTCACCCAATTCTAGTAGGTTTAATCTGGTTCCCCAGGCAAAGCAGATTAGATACAGCAAAAATAAGTGTGCCATTTCTGGAGATAGCATTCTGACCAAAGCGAAAAGTAACAGCCAACAGAAAGAGACAGACAAGCTTTATGAAAAACAAACATGAGAATTCAACAAGCCTACAAGCCAGATTATTTAGTGAAGGCTAAATTATATGCACCTCTGTAGATCCTGACGATGCTACTGTGTTGGACGACAAATGTCACTGATGTTCAGAAATAACAAGTGTGAACTAAAATAAAATCTTAAGGCTCACCCCTCACTGAGTGACTGAATGGACCCCCTTTTAGCCAAGGGAATATCCTAAAACTAAATTGCCTGCCAGGAGGAGGGAGGTCAGACATGCCTCATCATGCCCCCATCCCTTCTTGGGGACATCCTTTGTAAGCCATTAACAAGCCTAATGGTATTCGAGACAAACCTGCAGGTCCTCAATTTACACAACAAATCTATGTGGGGTGACTTATCTCTGATAAACAGCTCCTTTTGTTAAAACATTCCAAGCCTTTAAACAGCTATAAGTCAAAGAATATTTAAACCCACCTACAACCTGTAAGCCCCAGCTCCCGAGATGGCCCGCCTTCTCTGGCCAAACCAATGTATGCCTCCCGCATATTGATTTATGACTTTACCTGTAACCCCTGTCTCCCTGAAATGTATAAAACCAAACTGTAACCCAGTCACACAGCCAGTCCATTTGCTCAAGACTTCTTGAGTGTGGCTCTGGGTCACAGTCCTCAAATTTGGCTCAGACTAAATCTCTTTAAATTATTTTACAGAGTTTGGCATTTTTTCCCCGTTAACAGTAGTAAGTTTTTTTGTGAGTAAATATCTTTAGCTTTAGCGTTATTTTGTTATTTTTTTTTAATTACTGAAAAGACACTTTGGATTTCTGTGTCTTTATAACCAATTCTTAAACACACACATTTTTACAATGAATTCTTAAATATACACAACTTGGCTATAGATCTCAAGGCTGAGTGAATCACCTACTGTATGATTCCATTTATATGACATTCTCAAAATGGCAAAGTTATAGAGATGGGGAACAGATTGGTGGCTGTCAGGGTTAGGGAAGGGGAGGGAGGTGGCTGTGGGAGGAAGACCCTCGTGGATGGAAATGTCCCGTGTCTTGGCATGGATCTACACATGTGATGATGCTGATGGCACAGGCCCAGACACACGCTCACGCGCGTACGGTGCGATCTCACTAGGTCAATGGATTCTATCAATGGCAATTTCCGGGTTGCAATGGCTACCGCTGGAGCGAACACTGGAGCAATCCACGCTGTGGGATTCCTCGGTACCATATCTTACACCTGCATGTGAATCTATAATCGTTATCTGTTGGGCTTAAAGAACTCACCCTCCCCAGACTTCCATCCAAACCTCCTATGAAACCCACCACTCTCCCCTTCCCAGGGGTGTATTGGGCACGCAGCCTTTGCCAGACCCCGAGGGAGATCAGGGAATGAAATGCAAGAGGGGAACAACTTACTTTCCTTATCCCTCCTGATAAGGAGGAAGCTTATCGCTCCCTGTTGTTTGAAAAGAATTTATTACAGCCTCTGTTCTGGCCCAGTGGCTCACTCCCCCGGAAAAACCCTCCATAGAACCCAAGGCTCTCCCCTCTCGCTCGGGGGTGGACGCACTTTTCAGCCTCCACCCATCAGCACCCAGATGCACAAATAAACAGTATTTTGCTACACGTGAAGCTTCGTGTGTCTCTCAGCTCTGGACCTAACCATATCAAAATAAAGTTTTAAAAATTCCATATAAATGCTTCCTGTTTCCCACAAAACCCTCCTTAGGTGTAGTGATCACCGCTTAATTGCAGAGCAGGGAAATTGTCCCCATGACATTTTTTAATATTTTAAACCAGGCAATGCCCTAAAGAGAGGTAAAGATTTTCTGCTACAGTAAAACTCGAGATTGCTTTTCATCTAGAGCAACAGCACGATCAATGCTGTGCACACACCCTGAATTTTCCATATTACATACACGAAAACGCGAATCAAAATGTATCTGCTAACTTTGCCAAATTTCTGATGTGTTTTGCATGTTTATACAAATGCAGAACAGGAATCAAAAAATTTACTCTAAAACTGTTGATATTATTTGATTAAGAAAAATATTTGTAATAAGTGCCTTAAATGAATTAGAATAGAAAGGCAACAGGATTCGTCACTATTAAGCCTACTCGAAAAACAAAAACCAAAAGAACTTCTAGTACTTCTAGTTCAGTATCATTTTACATAAAGATCATATTGCTCTTATTCTGTTGAGAACTTTTATTAATTTGGCAATGTCACATTATCATTTACTGCATAAAAAGCTTAGCAGCAAAGCACAGCAATGTATCTAAGATCAGGCTTTTTCAAAGCAAAGCCACCAAAATGAAAGACTCCTTCCTTATACTTCTGCCTCCTGAGGCTCCAGCGGGCGAAACCCTGGAGTGAGTGAATAGCCCCTTCTCCAGGGAAAGCATGCAGCCCTCCCGACACTTCACCCAATGCCGGCAGGGGATGCTGAGGCAGCCCCTAGATCTTCTCCAGTGCTAGGCGAGGGTGGGGGTTAGGTTAGGGTTTGGGGACCTCTGTGCTCCACTCTGGCCTCTGCTTCCTGTAGCCAAAGAGCCCTCCTCTCTTCCTCAGGCCTGTCAGACCCACTGCCACCGCATTCACCAGGCTAAACTGCAGAAAAGGAATCTGATTTATCCAGCTCCCAAGTATTACTAAGCAGCCACCTTCAGGCAGATGCTAAGGCCGCAATGGAGAAATCGGAAAGGTCTCTATCTGGCTGACTCCCTCTCCTGACTGTGCCAGGCAGCACCACAGCGGGCAGGACAGGACAGTCCGTCTGCCCAGAGTGGGTGGGTGGGTGGGTGGGGGTGTGTGTGTGCAGTGCACCCTGAGAGGATGGGGTGGGCAGGTATTGACCAATGATCACCTGGGGCTACGGGAAATTCCCTGGGCAAATGGTGTAGGTGTGGCCAGGGCGAGATTAATCCAATCATTAAGGTACTTCTTTTAAAAAAATTGGTAATACAAGAGAAATTTGGAAGAC